TCAGTGAATCAACAGGGCAGAGCAAACAGCTATGGCTGATCCTCAGTCCTGCCCTAAGAGGTCCTGGGTCTCAGGGTCCTGGTAATCGCTGCAAGCACCTCTGAGAGAAAGCCACCCTCGAGTTCTGCCTGCTGCCAGACAGTCTAGTTTCTCCCCATATGAGTCTGGGAACACAGAGACTCACCCGGAACTGGAGTCAGGGCTGTAGGGAGCTTGTGCATCCCTCCCAATTGCAAAAGACACCGGCATCCTCTGTTGCCAGCCCCTTTCCGCTCCCACTCAAGCCTCCATACCTCTGCACTTTACTTCCGCACCTCCTCTGAGTCTCAGTGTGCTTTTCTCTTTCCTTCTAGTTGTAGAATTTCCACTCAGCCAGCCTTCCTGTGGTTCTGGATGATGTCTGTTTTGTCTTTTAGTTGTATTTTTGAAGTGGTTGTGCGAGTCAGCAATTTCAGGTGTTTACCTATGCCACCATCTTGGTTTCTCTCCATAATCTTATATGGTCTAAAAGGGCCTCTCCTCTCTGGGATTTATTAATATAAAACCAGTTGTCAAAAGACATGAATAAGCAACTTACTAGATAGGAAATATAAAAGCATGGCCCCTCACTATTTTCAAAATACAAGTTAAAACAACAAGATAGCCTTTTTTGCCTTTTAAAATGACAACATTTTAGACAGAATACCAAGTTTTGATGGGCCTGTGGGGAAACAAGTCACTTTAATACATGTTGGCGGGAGTACCAATTAGTATAGCCTCTCTCTCTTTTTGAAGGGAAATTTAATATCCGTGAACATTTTAATTGTGTATAATTGTGTGTATGCTTTTGATCCACTAATCCATCTCTATCAATTTATTCTAAACAAGTGTACATCTATACAAAGATCCAATGATGTATGTCTATCAATAAGTGGCTAGTTAAGCAATTATTACCTCTATACAATGGACTATTTAAAAAACAAGGTAGATCTATATAGTTATGGAGAGATGTCCAAGGTTTTATATTATAAACATGAAATCTTTTCTATTTATTTAGACCTTCTGTACTTTCTATAAGCAATGTTTATCATTTTAATGTAGAAGTCTTTCACCCACTTGGTTAATTTACTCCTACGTATTTTATTCTTTTAGATGCTATTATAAACAAAAAAAATTTTCTTAACTTCATTTCAGATTGCTCATTGCTAGAAATGAATTAATGATATACATAGAAATATCATTAATGTTTGTGTGTTGATCTTGTATCCTGCAACTTTGATGAATTTGTTAATTAACTTAAATATCTTATTTACAGATACTTTAGGATGGTGTATATGTAAGGTCATATCATATCATCTATGAATAATTGGTGGGGGGTGTTCCAGTTTGGATGCCTTTAATTTCTTTTTCTTGCCCAATTGCTCTGGCTATAACTTCCATGTAATGTTAAATAGAAGTTGTGAGAATTGGCATTCTGATCTTGTTCCTAATCTTCAAAGGAAGTTTTCAGCTTTTCACCATTAAGTATGATGTTAACTGTGAGTTTTTTGTAGATGCCCTTTATCAGGTTGTCTAAGTTCCCTTCCATTTCTAGTGAATTAAGTGTTTTTATCATGACAGGGTGCTGCTTTTTCTGCATCACATTGATCATTTTTTATATGTTCAACCACCCTTTCATTCCTGGAATAAATTCCACTTGATCAGGATATATAATCCCCTTAATATACTGCTAGATTCGGTCTGCCAATATTTTGTCAAGAATTTTTAGACCTATCTGGAAACAGCCTAAGTGCCCATCAGTAGATGAGTGGGTTAAAAAACTGTAGTACATCTACACAATGGAATACTAAGCTGTGGTAAAAAAGAAGGAATTCTTACCATTTGCAACAGCATGGATGGACCTGGAGAGCCTTATGCTAAGCGAAATAAGCCAGTCAGAAAGATAAATATCACATGAATTTTTAGACCTATATTCATAAGAGATATTGGTCTGAAACCAATACAAATAATATTGAATGTAAATTATAATTTTAAAAACTTTAAATAATTTATCTAAACATTTTTGAAAGCTACATTTTAAAAATAAAGCTGGGATAGCAATACGTATACTAAACAAAATAGACTTTAAAACAAAGGCTATAGCCCTAACTGGTTTGGTTCAGTGGATAGAGCATCGGCCTATGGACTGGAAGGTCCCAGGTTGGATTCCAGTCAAGGGTATGTACCTTGGTTGCAGGCGCATCCCCAGTGGGAGGTGTGTAGGAGGCAGCTGATCGATGTTTCTCTCTCATCGATGTTTCTAACTCTCTATCCCTCTCCCTTCCTCTCTGTAAAAAAATCAATAAAATATATTTTTTAAAAAAACAACAAAGGCTATAACAAGAAATATTGAAGGACCCAACAATTCCACTTCTGGGTATTTATCTGAAGAAACCCAAAACATAAAATCAAAAAACTATATGGTTCCATATGTTCATTGCAGCATTATTTACAATAGCCAAGATATGGAAGCAATGAAAGTGTCGATGAATAGATGAATGGATAGAGAAGAAGTGGTACATATATGCAATTAAATATGACTTGACCATAAAAAAATAATGTAATATTGCCATCTGTAAGTACATGGACCTAGAGGGTATTGTGTTGAGTGAAAATAAGTCAGACAGGGAAAGACAAATGCCATATTATTTCACTTATATGTATAATCTAAAAATATATATAATAAATGAACAAGCAGACAAGAAACAGACTCATAGATACAGTGAACATTTTGCCACATGGTAGGGGGTTAGGGGAATAAGGTGAAGGAGTTAAGAAGTATAAATTGGTAATTACAGAATGGTCATGGGATATAAAGTATAGCATCGGGAATATAATTAATAATATTGTAATGACTATGTGTGATGTCAGATGTGTCCAAATTAATTGGGGTAATCACTTCATAAGTTATATAAATGTTTAATCACTGGGTTGTGCACCTGAAACTAATGTACAAAACTGTAATTAAAATATTAATAATTATTTTTAATGGAATAGAGAAAACATATTTTCTTGCCTTTGAAGAAACAGGCAGGGAACAGATAAATCAACATGTTAGTAGGCAGTCAAGTCCAGGTATGAGTTGCCACTATGCCTCATAGGTCCCATTTCAAGATTTAATATAAGAAACATAGTTTCCTATCAGGTTCTGCACACAGCAGGAAGCCAGTCAGTGTTTGCTATTGATGGTGATAATTTGCTATTTTTCCAGAAGAGTAATTAGTTCTTAAATCTGTGGGCTGTTCAAATTAAACCCCAGGTATATTTTATCAGGAATTGTCACTCACTGGCATGTATGACCTTTTAGCTAAAGGCTGATATGATAAATAAGAATGGTATTAACTGGCCCTGGCTGGGTGGCTTACTCAGTTGGAACATCGTCCTGTACACCAAAAAATTGCAGGTTGAATCCCCGGTCAAGGTACATATGGGAGTCAACAAGTCCATGTTTCTCTCTCACATTGATGTTTCTCTCTCTTTCTCTTCCCCTTTCTCTCTGAAAAATTAATAAAAACATATCCTCGTGTGAGGATTTTAAAAAAGAAAAGATTGCTCATTCTTAAAAAAAAAAAAAAAAAAGAATGGTATCAACTGAAGTTAATGTGGATAACAATGCAGTTTTCCAAGACAAACTTTTTCTTAAGTCTCCAAATTACCTTCAGTTGAAAGGTCTTAATCATCTACTTGCTGCATAATAGAAACAAAGACAGAACCTATTTCATTCCTGTCACAGAATCACGGCAAGGTCTGGGCCTCCCCAGAACACATGCCTATATGTGAATCGGAGACCAGTTTTTGGAACACCTTATTTTCCTCATCTATAGTCTATGGTTGCTGCCATATATGTATAATGGAGACAAAAAGATGGTGTCATCCAGGAGATCAAGGTTCAATTCCCAGTCAGGGCACATGCCCAGGTTGTGGGTTTGATCCCCAGTGTGGGGCGTGCAGGAAGCAGCCAATCAATGATTTCCTCTCATTGTTGATGTTTCCATCTATCTATCTATCTCCCCTCCTCTCTGAAATCAATAAAAATATATTAAATAGAAAGATGGTTTCATAATGCTACAGTTAGATTTAAATAAAACATTATGCATAAGAGAAAAGAGCCCAAGAGAAAACGCAAAGCTTTGGTTAGGTGTGCATTAACCACCCAATGGCATTTCAGAGTTACATCAAGAAATAAAAAAGTGGAGGGGTGTCAAAAAGGTGGAGAAAGTGGGAGACATCTGTTATACTGTCAACAAAAAAGTAAACTTTAAAAAAAAATAGTAGTCCAAGTTGTCCACTTGAGCCTATGCACAATCCCGAGTGAATGGATTCCTTTATTGAAATTCCAACTTGTCCTACAGCCCTATTGACCAAAAGGAAGTTGTTGAGAGGCAGCCCAGCAATTTTTCTAATGGGCGTTTCTGTAACCTGCTGTACATGAGACATTGAAAGAGATAATAAGAATATATTTTCTTACCTGTGAGAAAGATAAAACTGGACATGAGAATCAATTCATAAAGCCTCGGATACATGATATGTCCTTTCATTGTCTAAACCTGTTTTAAAAAAGTCAGAAATATGCCTAGCTCAGATTCAGAACAAACAATTTCTAGGTGTATGTGACCACCTTCTTCCCATTTCATGCAAGGATTGTTCTGATTGCTTAAAATCATGTCAGCCAGCCACAATATAGACACTTACTTGCCTGAGTTATGCAGCTTGGCTGAAACCTCACAGATAGATTTATTTGCATAGCCATTCAACAAATTTTATTGAGTGCCTACTATGTGGAAGACACTGTGTTACACACTGGGAATACAATGCTGGAAAAAACAAAACAGAGATACCTGCCCTCAATGGGAAATCAGACATTAAATACATAATTACAGCCGAAACCGGTTTGGCTCAGTGGATAGAGCGTAGGCCTGCGGACTAAAGGGTCCCAGGTTCGATTCCGGTCAAGGGCATGTACCTGGGTTGCGGGCACTTCCCGGTGGGGGATGTGCAGGAGGCAGCTGATCGATGTTTCTCTCTCATCGATGTTTCTAACTCTCTATCTCTCTCCCTTCCTCTCTGTAAAAAATCAATAAAATATATTTAAAAAAAATAAATAAATAAATACATACTTAATTACAAAGTGTGATTTTATTCAACCTTTATGTACACAACTTTAACAAAACAACTCTGGTTTTAACGGTTTTAACAAGCCTAAATTTTTTGAAGGAAGCATTGTACAAGAAGAACTTACTGGTAAAAGTAACTCATGAAATCATTTCATCTCATTGCATTCACCCAGCTTCTCTCCTTAAATAATTCTAAGGAAAGCTGATTATTTGGGAAACACACTGAAAACCCCTTTCTCCAACCCAAACAGTGTTAAAACTCCAAATCCTACAGAAACATATTACAGAAGTTTGGCAGTAAGGTGTTGATGGACATTTTCTAATTTTAAATAAAATACACTTCTGAATGATTTACTACTGATTTAAACACTTCTTTTCCTATAGGATAATACATCATATTGTATTTCTTTCTACTTCTAAGTGGGATTTGGAGTGAATGGACTCACTTTGTATTTAAAGTAACAGAAGTCAATTAGGAAACCAAATGAGTCTTGGACTTGCTTTGAGCGCCTGTCATTAATAAGGCTCTTCACATTTACCAAGTGTTCGAATGCCATTCTCATTAGAATAATAAGGGAATTTGTATGACTTGGATGGATTTTTTAAACTACAAACTTAGAAGTAAGGGGATATCTAAATCTTTTATGACATGCAAGATGAAATGCAACTTAAATTTACAGTGCTATAAGAGTGCCAGATAAGAATCTGTAACTAGCTGTAAGGCTGTATTTCTGCTCCTTCATTTCCCTGGACCTCAGTTTCCTTATCTGTAAAAATAGAGATAAAAATCTGCCTATTTCCCAAAGCTGCTATAGAAGATCAAATGATGTGATACTTAAAAGGCAATTTTCAAAGTATAAAGTGCTATAGAAATGGATATGATCACTATCTATAAAATGGAATTTTCAACAGCAAACAATCCAATTTATATTTTTCTTACATTTCCTCTAAACTTTTATAACAATCTCAAGGTATGTTTCAGAAACTTACCTGGAACCCAAAAAGTAAATCATGGGATTTTCACACTACAGAATACTATGCAGTCATTAAAGAGAATAAGATAAGACCAGCCAGTGTGGCTCAGTGGTTGAGTATCAACCCAGGAATCAAGAGGTCACCGGTTAGATTCCCAGGTTGCAGGCTCCATCCCCAGTAGGTAGTGTGTAGAAGGCAGTTGATCTATGATGTTTCTATCTCATCGATGTTTCTTTCTATCCCTCTCCTTTCCTCTCTCTCCAAAAAAATCAACAAAAAACATTTTTTTAAAAAAAGGAATAAGGTAAGTCTATATGTCTATCAGTCATAAAAGGGTGGGTGGGGAGTGGGGACAGGATCTTTCATTTTATGTACCATGCAATTCTGTACTGCTTGATTCTTTTAAAATTATCACACATTACCTATATAACTTTAAAAGTTGAAAGAAAAGAGAAAGAAAGGAAGAGAGGGCTACAGAAAGAGAGGGAAGACAGGAAGGAAGGGGATGAGAGAAGTAGAAAGGAAGAATAGGGATTAAATAGGTTTCCTTTATACCTAATATCATTCAGTATTGTTTGATTATTTTACAATGAGCATGCATTACTTTTATAATTTTTTAAAAAAATGATAGAAGGAAAAGAGGGAAAGAAGTGAAAGAATGGAGATTAAGGACTTTTATATTATACCTCATACAATTATATGCAATTCTGTTCTTTTATGATGAATATTTATTACTTTTATAATTTTTTTAAAAAATTAAAGGAAGAAAGGCAAGAAGGAAGGAAAGATGGAGGTAAAGAAGAAGAGAGGGTGGAAGGGAGGGAAGAAGAGAAAAAAAACACTCACCTGAGAACTGGGCTCCTTTAACTTCCCACCCCTGTGTCACTGTGGAGTCCACAACAAGAGTTTGCTTTACAAATGAGCAGGCCTGGTTTCTAAATCCCTACATTTGACGTGAAATGGAACGAGCAAAAAGCAGGAGGCTCATTATCTGCTGGCAATGCCTCAGTCACCTCCTTTTATGGATCAAACCAGCCTCTCTGCTCTTAGCTTTATGGGGCTTATTGACCAGGGAAGATCCTCTTTTTGTGTCTCGCAGCATGTCATGGGGCTGCTCCCCTGAGCATGAAATCAGCATGGGCAAAGTCCTCAGGTTATTATATTCCTGAAAGAACCCATTAACTTGAGGTTTCTTTTTCAGTTTTCATTAAGGATTATCTTAACTTGATTATCACTTTAATTCAACTGGATATACTAAGCAGGTACTTAACTAAGGTTCATTTCACTTTATTGAGAAAATGGGGAGTGGGTAGTGTTCAGAACTATGAGCAGAAAGTAGAGGCCAAGGAAGTATTAATATAGTCACATCTCACACTGTCAGTAAAGTGAAGCCAGCTGTTTATATTCACTGCAGATCCTTTCTTCAAATTTCCTTCAAAATAAATAGATTTACTGAACTGGTTTTGCATCAGAGGGGGTTGTGCTTTTTGTCCCAGATGGTATCATTATAGCCCTTTGGAGATGATAGAAATATCAAATCTCATCAAAATATCCAGAGATGTTCCCCACCAGCCTCTGCATTTCCAAGATCAGGACCCTGAGTTCCAGAGGGTAGAATAACTTGCTCAATTTCATTGAGTTTATGAGAGGCAGAACAGGAGCTAGGACCGTGGGCTCCTGACTCCAAGACCAATACCTTTTTCTCTCCATCTCACACCTTAAATGGAAAAATTCAGTCTAGTAAGAGACTCTGTCAAAGTATTATCTGTAAGCCAGTGGTTCTTCAGGCAGGAAAGGGAAGGAGAGTGTCTCAGAATCACCAATTACCCATTCCAAGCCCAGAAACTGTTACCAGTGTGGAGGATGAGAGTCCAGATTTTGCAGAAAGATAGACAAGTTTGAATCTCAATTGTGTGGTCTAGGGCCTGTTCCCTTAACATCTCTAGAACCCCCAGTACCCTCATGTGAAAAATGTAGATAATGACACTTACCTTGTAACCCTGGGAAGATTATGTGATACTGTGTGTATAAAGGGCTTTAGCCCAGTACCTGGCGTGGAACTCCAGTGCCACTGATCCTGCCCAGAACTCCACTGCTTCCCCTTTACACTTGTCACTAGGCTTGTTTTTTATGGCCTGCTACCCACATGGGGTAACACAGCCTACAAAGAGATGTGGGGCAATTGCCAAGAATCATCTTGGCACTTCCCTGTCATTGGTTTATATTTCACACCATGCCTGTTCATTGATCTGTCCACACCTCCCCCTCTAACACTATGAGCTCCATTCAAAGGTTCACACATTGCCAGGCACACAGAGAACACTCAATCAATATTTGGTAAATGAATGGCTATGCCTTTCCCCCCTACTAAAGTGTGCACTTATTGAAGATAAGGGAAACACATATCTGTTCTCCTCATGCCCTGCCCCAGGAGTTAGCACAACACCTGGAACATAGTAGGTGCTTAATGAATATTTGCTGAATTGAAAATGAATATAGAGGGGAATATATTTATATATACTTGAATACATTAAGAAAATCCTCTGGCCCTGACCAGTTTGGCTCAGTGAATAGAGCATCAGCCTGTGGACTGAAAGGTCCCAGGTTCGATTCCAGTCAAGGGCATGTACCTTGGTTGTGGGCACATACCCAGTGGGGAGTGTGCAGGAGACAGCTGATTGATGTTTCTCTCTCATCGATGTTTCTGGCTCTCTATCCCTCTTCCTTCCTCTCTGTAAAAAATCAATAAAATATATTTTTTTAAAAAATCCTCTGAATGGAGATCCTGGTGACAACAGTTCATTTTTTTAAAAAGGAGACTAAGAGGCCTTGGATGGGAGGGAACCTTACTTTTCTCTGCATATGCTTTTGTATTGTTAGAATTTTAATTATCTGCATACGTTGCTTTGTCAAAGAAAAATACTATATTTACTTTTTAAATCCAATGTATCAAATGAAATAATTTACTGGAAAATGAAATGTGCAGAAAAAGGAAGAGGTTAGAGCTCTTGGTCAGGAAGAAAATGCCACCTGAGTAGAGAGGACTTCAATGGGTAGCTTCCATTATCTGGAAGGTTATACAGTGAATGTTGACCATATGTTCTCCTTATCTACAGGGTAATAGGAAATGGACTGAAATTAGAGTGGGAGATGTGAGTTAAACATAAATAAGTCATTATTGAGCATAGTTTCTGATAAACACCCAAAAAGGCTATCACGGGATGTTATGAGCCTTCCATCCCTGGAAACTCAAAGGTCTAGATTGCCATAAGGCCCTGCTGATTTATGTGTCCTCCCACAGAGAAAGAAGGCTGATCTTGTTGAGACTCTGTTTCCCTTTCTAACACTAGAAGAAACACTTAATCTGGTGATATTCCAGGCTGTCATTGTTCCCTCTTCCCTTTCCAGGTCATTTGGGAATCATTATTTCTACACATCATGGCTCCCAA